CCGCAGCCTCGCCCTGCTGGGCTCTGGTAATCCTTCTGCCTCAGCCTTCCAAGTAGCTGGAACTACAGGCGCGCGCTACTACGTCCGGCTAATTTTTGATTTATTGTAGAGATGAGGTCTTACCAAGTTGCCCAGGTGGGCTCAGGCTATTCACTCACCTCAGCCTCCCAAGGCGTGGGATTACAGGCTGAACCACCAAGCCCAGCTAATAAATTCTTTTAATGAACTGCTATATTTTGCATCTCCCAACCCTCCGGATTCCAATGACGATCATAACCAGATGAGTAGAAGAAGCAGGGCCATAGCTGCCCAGAGTTGACCTGCAACCTGGGGTCTTTGGCCTTCCAGACCCTGTCAACGTGAAGGCCTTTGAGGCTGGCTCCCGATGATATTCCACATATTTAAATATTTTTGTTTAGACCAGGCATGGTGGCTCACGATTGTAATCCTAGCACTTTGGGAGGCTGAGGAAGGAGGATTGCTTGAGCCCAGGAGTTCAAGACCAGCCTAGGCAACATAACAAGACCTCTTCTCTACAAAAATAAAAATAAAAATTTTAAAAATTAGGCAGGCATGATGGCATGCACTGGTGGTCCTAGCTATTCAGAGAATGAGGCAGAAGAATCAATCACCTGAGCCCAGGAGGTTGAGGCTGTGGTGAACCATGATTGTACTGTTGCACTCCAGCCTGGGCAACATTTTATATTGAAATAAAATGGTCTTGGCTTGGACAATGAATAGTAATGATTCTGCAACTCCAAATTATGAAAAATATACTTACATTTTTACATAAAATACTTATTCTTCTTCATATTTTAGATTGTGTGTTGTTAAGCTTTATTTACAATATAAAGTCAAATTTTACTTTCACTTAGTTATTTTTACCCAAATATTTTACTAACATATAGTAATACAGAACCTTAGCAATGACTAATTACATGAATAAAGTCTAAACTTACTTATACAAAAATTGATTATCTCTAGTTACCAAAATATGTGTGTGTGAGATTTGTTTTTTAATCTTTCTTTTCTCTACCATTGGCATAATTTTTTATTGTGTTTTATTTCAGTATACAATGTTCTTGTTTGTATTTATTTTTATTCATTGAAAATTATTTTTCAAAAATACTAGAGATAATTTAGAAACATTACCATTTTGATTAAAATGTTCAATAAAATACTTAATTGTTAAACAAAATTACATTAGAATTTTATCTTGTACCAAAGTTTGTTTCTGCTATTTATCTTAGTATTTTAATAGTTTTATTATGCTTTCATATTCTCTTCAAAAC